GTCATACGCAGCTGTCATCCGTACGCAAGGAAGTAAGGACAAGATGCCGAACAGCCTTAGCAGGATGCAGCGCACCCTTCATGCGACTCGCCGAATACCTCACGGCGCTTCGCGCTTGGTGATGTGAGAGCCTGGTCCGGTGAGAACCCGGCGTGCTCCGTCCCGGCTTTGTAGGGATGCGAGGTCCATGGTCTAACGACTACGGCATGCACGACTATGAGTACACCCCCCCCCCCCCCCGGCGGTGTTAGGTGATGGACTTCGGCTGCTTCGTCGAGATGAGGGGGTTTCCCGCCGCAGGCGAATGGGAAGAGGCAGGAAGGGCTTGTGCACGTGAGCCAGATCCAGAACGGCATGCTGCGGGACCCCAGCAAGGTCGTGAAGCGCGGCCAGAACTGCAAGGTCAAGGTCATCTCCATGGTGAGCTGTTGTTGTTGTTGTTGTTGTTGTTGTTGTCGTTGTCGTTGTCGTTGTCGTTGTCGTTGTCTTCACATTCAATACGACTTACGTTTGTGCGTTGTTGTGGTTATTGCTGTTGTCTTTGCACAAAGGAAACTTATCGTTGTCGTTAACGTTATTGTCTTCACGTTAGACAGACTCGTTGTTGTTTTGTTTGTGTGTGTGGTTGTCTTCACATTGCTAAACCGTTCATAACCTCGCCCTCTCAACGCAAAGTACGCAGGTAAGGAAGTTTTTTTTGCGTATCTCTACTTCCACACGGAGGTTTGTGTTGCCACAATACATTATAAACAACAATGAGCTTCCCTGTTGTTTGAAATACGGCGGGGTAGTCAACAACGAGCTTCCCTATTGTTTTGAAATACGGCGGGGTAGTACGTAGTTTTTTTTTCTTTTTTGTTTCGGGTACTTGGATACAAGATCGGATCTGGAGAGTTTATGTGTGTGTGGGGGGTATGCTATTGGGGGTCCAAGTGCGGGGGCCCTCGAGAGAGAGCACGCACATGTGTCCACTGTAGTTTATTTTCTGTCTGATGAGAATGTGTATATTGAGCTGGAAGGAGCACGGGTGTCTAAAAGTCAAAGGTCTATTCGTCTGCATCGGTCCTGCGTTAACTTAGCCCCCAGATCCACTCATACTTCCGTGGGTGGGCACGGTAGCCCCCCGTGGGAAGGCACGGGGGCCTCTGACACTTTCCTTCGACATGCATACCTTCGCGGTATCATTTCCCGCGTGTAAACTTTCTGTACGAATGCCCTGTATTTTTTTATTTTTTTGCAGCCCGCCCCCCATAACATCGCCATTCAGGCGGGAGCATGACTGAGTCTATCCCTTGACTTGCATACCGTATATGACACAAGATAACACACCCCCTGGACCGATTTTCAAAGCTCGATTACTCCACGACGAAGAGGATGCATAAATGAAACAATACGTTTTCGAACAGCTCTCGACGAGACGGTTCCAACGCCGCCGTTTTCGGCGCTGTGACTCTTCCTGCTGTTGAGAAATCGAGCTTTGAAAATCGGCCAAGGGGGTGTGTTATCTTGTGTCATATACGGTAACCTGTGCAAAATCAGCCCCCGTGTAGTTTTTTCTCTTGCGGATGCATGCCTTACTTCTTTTGTCACAATATGCTAGCAACAACAAAAAAAAAACTGAAAATTTTAGGCGGGAGCAAGGTTGAGCCTTTTTTCGACATGCATACCTGCGCAATGTCAGTTCCCGCGCGTGTAAACCATTTTCTCTTTATTGAGTGCCCTATTTGTTTTTGTTGTCCGTTTCGCCCTCTATACCAACAACGCCTTCGCTTCAGGCGGGAGCAAGGTTGGGCCTTTTTTCGACATGCATACCTGCGCAATGTCAGTTCCCGCGTGTATGTAACCATGTTCTCGTTACGAATGCCCTAGTTATTCATTTTGTTGTCACAATTTCCGTTCTTCCCCCCGAAAAAAAAAAAACGCCTTATTTTCAGGCGGGAACAAGGCTGAGCCTGCGCCTTGACATGCATAACCTGTGCAAAACCATCCCCCGTCTAACCTGTTTCTTTTACTTCGTTCGTCACAACATGTACATACGCGAAAAAAATGTTAAAAAAAAAAACTCCTTCCTCCTCTTCAGGCGGGAGCAAGGCTGAGCCTTTCCATCAAGGAGGTGGATCAGGCTACTGGGGAAGACCTCATGCCGGGCAGGGGCCACGAGGCTGCGGCCAAGCTGGCGGACGAGCTCAAGTCCAATCCATCGGGCCCCGGCGGCGGCGCGAAGGCGGCGTCTAACCCGCTGCACCCGGGGCTTACCCAGGAGAAGCTCCGCGCCATGGAGGCGGAGGAGGAGGTGTGTGCGTGGTGCAATCGATCGGGGTCCCCGGATAAGGCGGTGGTGGTGGGGGGCGGCAGCTGGTACTGGCCGCATTGGGTGGGGCAGCCACCTTAGTGCAACGTGTAGAACAGCTTGATTGTTCGGTCCATGCCAGCTGGTTTCACCCGCCTTGTGGCTTCCCGCCGCTTACGTCAATTTTGTCAATGTGGAGAGCAAGCGCGCACTGAAAACACGCAAGGTGCTGGAACGATTGGCCTATTGGCGAACAAAACGCTACAACCACAGGTAGCCTTGCCTCTAGAACCCCTTTTCACTCCCATTTTTTTTTTGTGTGTGTTTCATGCATGTGTTGACTACAATTGTGCCGCGGAGAAAACGTCGGAACTGGAAAAGAGCCAGCGCGCGGGCAGGCACCTGAGCGGAGCAAGGGAGACATTTTTCTTCCTTTTTGGACCTTTTTTTGTGTGTTGCGTCTCTGTTTTTGCCTTGTGCGTTGCGTCTCTGTTTTTCAACCGCAAAAATCGGAACAGAAAAAGAGCCAGCGCGCGGGCAAGCACCTGAGCGAGCAGGAGATGTGGGAGGCCAGGCAGCTGATCGCGTCCGGCGTGCTGCCGGTGTCGGAGTACCCGACCTTCGACCCGGAGTCTGGCATGGGCATCCTCGGCAACTTCGAGGAGACGGAGGAGGAGCTGGAGATAGAGCTGAACGAGGACGAGGTTAGTGTGTGCGTGTTTTGTGTGTGTGTGTGTGTGTGTTTTGTGTGTGTGTGTTTGTGTGTGTGTGTGTTTTGTGTGTGTGTGTGTTTTGTGTGTGTGTGTGTGTGTGTGTGTTTTGTGTGTGTGTGTGTGTGCGTGTTTTGTGTGTGTGTGTGTGTCTTTCTTGTTGGCATCTACCGCGCCAACTAACCGGCTGACCAACGAAAAGACGCCAGTCTCACAGTGCGGTTGAAAACATACGATGCTGCTATAGGCCAAGATCTGGGACCCTGTGACTGAGCGTCATGGGGAAGTCTACGCTACTCTCTGGATGAAAGACAGATACGGTAGCAATGACAGAAGAAAACTGCGCGTGCTTGCCATGGCTGCTACTGCGTTTGACGCGCGTTCGTTTTGGATTGCGTTCATCGTCTTCCCTGCTCTCGTCTTTTCTTAAGTATCAAGCATCAACCGCGCTTAACCGGCTGACCAATGAAAATGCGGCATTCTTTGTCGCGGGAAAATAAACCCATGGCACATCTGGTTTGGCACAGCAAGCGCAGATGAAAACCATGTTGCGGTTCCCGATAGTTCCCGAGAGCTGTCTTTTGTGCGTCGAATGGTCTAACCACTTAGGCATCCAAAACATGAGCACCCCCCCGCCCCGCGCCCGGTTACACAGCCGGCGTTCCTGAAGGACTAAACTCGACAGTCCCGAGAGCTGTCTCCCGCGCGTCAACGGTCTATCCGCTGAGGCAGGCAAAACATGACTACGCCCCCACCCCCCACCCCCACCCTGTTGTACAGCCGGCGTTCCTGAGGGGGCAAACCCGACAGTCCCGGGAGCTGTCTCCCGTGCGCATCGTGGCCAACCCGGACGGGTCGATGCAGCGATCTGCTCTCCAGCAGGTCCAGATGGCCAAGGAGCGTCGCGAGCTTCGCCAAGCACAGGCCAATCAGGTGATGCAAACGCTAATACATTAAATGCGACCTCTCCGTGGTGTGCTAAGTGTGGTACTATGTGATGTTCGTAGTCGGTAGCTCGTGCAGCTTTTTGACAGCAAGCGAAGGTCAACCAGGTGATGCTAACAAAATTGCGACAACTCCGTAGTATGTAGTGGTACTATGTGATGTTCGTAATCGGTAGCTCGTGCCGCTTGTTGACAGCAAGAGCGGCCACCCAGGTATGCTCGAAACTTGAGACTCTGTAATATTTTGCCTGCAAGAAGCGTCGCGAGCTTCGCCAAGCGCAGTCCAATCAAGTGATGCAAACAAGATTGCGACAACTCCGTGGTGTGTAATATATTAGTAGCGGCTCGCAATGCCGCTTGTTGACAGCAAGCGAAGGCCAACCGGGTGATGCTAACAAATTTGCGACAACTCCGTAATGTGTGGTGGTACGATATTTTAGTAGCGGCTCGCAATGCCGCTTGTAGACGGCAATTGCAGGCCAACCAGGTGATGCCAAAAAAAATGCTAAGACCGAGGCGACCGGGCTCGCAATGCCTCTTGTAGACAGCAAGCGAAGGCCACCCAGGTGATGCTCACAAAATGCGAAGACCGGGGCGACCGCCTGGTTTTAAGTTAGCCTGGCCCAATTTCTTGCTTGTTTGGTTGCTGGAAAAATGGACCAGGTCTCAAAGACGAGAATCCGAGAAGCATTTCTCGTGAGACGTGGCAGGTATTGGTACGTAGCTCGCAATGCTGATTGTAGACAACACGAGCGGCCACTTACGTAGGTGCGCTCAATCCTTGGGACCATGTACTACTGGTAGCTCGCAATGCTGATTGTAGACAACACGAGCGACCACTTATGTAGATGCGCTCAAAGCTCGTGACCATATACAAAAAGTAGCTGGCAATGCTGCTTGTAGACAACACGAGCGGCCACCTATCTAGGTGCGCTCGAAGCTCATGACCATATACAATAAGTAGCTCGCAATGCTGATTGTAGACAACACGAGCGGCCGGCTACCCAGGTATCGTCAAACTTTGGGACTATTATATGTGTAAGTAGTTGAAAGCGCGCTCTTGGGCCCTGTTTTTTGTGAGGCCTTGGTAACTTGTGGCGACCGAGTTAACGTAGGAAACGGCAGTAATCCCAGAGAGAGAGAGAGAGAGAGACAGAGACAGACAGACACACAGACACACACACAGAGAGGCACAGACAGAGACAAAGACAGAATTGACAGAGAGCTGCTGCGGATGCATGTTGGCGTCCAATTACCATCAAACCCAGGAGAGACAGACAGGCAGACAGACTTACACAGAGAAGCAGAGACAGAGACAACGAGATATTTGAAAAAGAGAGCTGCTGCGTATGCATATTCACGTCGAATTACCACCGCAACTGCTCGACCCGGTCTTTTCTTTTTTCCCCCTCTTGTTCCTCCTCGAAACGATTGCACGAAAAATCAACAGCTGATCGACAACATGCCCAAGGATCTAAACAGACCCTGGGAGGACCCCATGCCAGATGCGGGAGAGCGTCTGTTCACCATGGAGCTCAGGGGCATCAGCGTGTCCGGGTAAGCGGTTGTCTTGTTGTTGCTGTTAAGGTACGGTTGAGCAGTTGTTTGTTGTTGTTGTCGTTGTGCTGATGAAGGGGGAGTTTCTGTTCACAATTGAGCTCGGGGGGAGCGGCTGTTAGTTGCTGCTGTTGTCGTTGATGGTGGTGCTGTTGGCGCTGCTGTTGTTGTTTATTGTTCCGGTGATGCGGCATGAGCCGTGAGCGGTTGTTTTTGCCGCTGATGTTGTCGTCGATGCAGCTGCTGCTGTCTGGGTGTTTTTACGATCACCAAATAATTATCAGAACGTTCTCCACCCCGGGGTGTGGAAGGCAGAGGCTCACACCGAGCGCGTTGCCGCCAATTTGATCATGTAGGTAAATGCTCCGAATTTGTTTTGCCTGGTCGTTGTGTCATGATAACTGCTGTCGGGGGCACTGTCAAAAACTGGCCAATCACAGGGCGTTGAGCTCGCGGAGCGTACGTAGGAAACCCAGAGAATAAACCGAGAACATATTGTGATTAATCTCCTTGTGTCGTTGCTGTTGGGGCACTGTCAAAGTTGGCCAACCCGCGCGGCTTCCGTTGTCCCCAAGCGTGAACAAACAGAGCACGTGCTGTGTATCAGACATTCCGTGCTTTATCTCATGCTCCATTTCTGCCGGGGCACTGTCACTCTTGGCCAATCACAGGACAACCGAGCTCCCGGGGTGTAGAAAAATGTACTCCAGTAGCACATAAAAAGAACGTGCCGTTATTAATCTCATGCTCCATTTCTGTCGGGGCACTGTCACTCTTGGCCAATCGCAGGACATTCGCTGTCCCCAAGCGTGAAAAAACAGAGCACGTACTGTGTACCAAGAGCGCACCGTTGTACTCACACTTTATTTCTATTGGGGGCACTGTCAAAACGTTGGCCAATCGCAGGACGTTCGAGCTGCCGGAGTGGAAGACCAAGGCCCAGGGCAAGAACCTGAGCTATGGGCAGGTGTCCAGCAAGAGCATCAAGGAGCAGCGAGAGGGACTGCCCATCGCGAAGCTCCGGACGCAGCTGTGCGCCGCCATTGCCGAGTGAGTGTGTGTGTGCCTTTGTTTTTTTTCGTTTTTTTTCTTCGCTTCAAATCAACGCTCTCACAGCATTAAAATAGTGCTGTTTACTCCATCCGACCCGTGGTCACACAGAAGAGCCCCTTTCTACCCTCCCCCCTCCTGCGGCACATGGCCTTCGATTTTTAATGCGAGGAGAGTTCAGCACTCTCTTCCCTCTGTGTACACACGAACTATTTAGCGCTATCCACTAGACCAGGAGCGGAAGCGAGAGAAAAAATCACTTTGCAAGAGAAGCTCGCCTACGCCGGAATTCGAACCCATGACCTGACCTCTAGAAGGTTTCGAGGTTACCAACTATGAACAGACCACCGGGGCGACCGACGAGTGAGTGCGTGTGTGCGTTTTTTTTTTTAAACTATTAGCATGGACGGCTCTAACCGGCTGACCAATGAAAATGCGTCAGTCTCAGTGCGGTTGAAAGCAGCACAATGGGCTTGTACATGCCATGAACTGGAAGCCTGTGTGAGAGAGGGAGAGATAGTTTGAGAGAGAAAGAGAGAAGAGAGAGAGAAGAAAAATTTGCTGAGTCTCGGAAAGGAAGAGGACGATCCGGGGTTGTTGTTGTTGCTGCTGCTGCTGTGGTTGTAATTGTTGTTGTTGTTGGTGTTGGTGTTGTTGTCTTGGCATTGGTTACTGTCACGGTCTTCGCTCGGTGCCTTCAAATATCTGTAGTAGGTTTACGAGGCTTCCCACTGTTAGCTTGAAGGTAGACCACCGGGGCGACCGGCCAATCAAAACATGGCGGTTGTGGTGATGACCGGCCACACCACGTTGGTGGCTTGATACAATTTATAGAAGTACAAAAAAATACACACGCAACCGATGTTTTGGTGACAACTGAAAACCAGCCGAACCAGCCTTGCTTTCCAGTCAAGCGTGTCAATATTGTGTGTGTGTGTGTGTGTGCTTTTTTTTTGTCTTTACTTCAATTGAGCGGTCATAGCACTTGTGCCGTTTTTCTCCGACCCGTGGTCACACAGAAGGGTTTCCCCCTAGTGTGTGTGTTTTTGTTTATTTCGTTATATTGTTTTGTTTGTTTATGGTGCGTGGTTCTGGGAGAGGCTGGCATTCCTTCAAATCGAAAAATAGTCATCGTTCCACCAAAAAGCCATTGGAGTCTGACCAATCAAATCGTTTCTTTGCGACGGCACCCTCGAAACAAACCAGACGCCCCGTGCAGCCTGACCAATCAGATCGTTTGCATGTGACTGCACCCTCAAGAAACCAAGACCAACCAGGCTCTGTCAAGACCATTCGAATCGTTTGCATGTGACTGCACCCCCAAGAAATAAAAAAACTGCCAGGGGCCGTCTGACCAATCAAATCGTTTGCTTGCAACGCCACCCTCAAGAAATAATACAACTACCAGGGGCCATCTGACCAATATTACCGTTTGCTTGGAACGCCACCCTCAACAACCCAACCAGGCACCGCGTGTTGGTGGTGATCGGAGAGACCGGTTCCGGCAAGACGACCCAGATGACGCAGTACATGGCGGAGATGGGGTTCACGAGCAGCGGCATCATCGGGTGCACGCAGCCCCGCCGTGTGGCGGCCATGTCGGTGGCCAAGCGTGTGGCGGAAGAATACGGTGAGATATGACCCACCTAGGAAGGTAGTGACGACGAAGAATTCAACTGCTGTGAATGCCGGCTACGAGTGCGAAGACCTGGTTCATGTAGTTGCGGAACCTCTCCGCCGTACATGGAGAGGGAAGTGTGCATGACTGAGCTGGGAGAATAGAAGAAAGGTGCAGAAAGATGTTTGAGGCATGGAATAGCCAGGAGAACAAGGTAATGGCTACACTGGGGCAACAAGTGTGGGCGGAAAAGGCGGGTCTGACATTTCTTTTTTGAGGTATGGGCTCATGTTGGGCCGCAACAACAGTATCACCGGGCGTGGTGTGTTGTCGGGGGTGGTATGTGTACTGTGTGCCTGTGGGAGGTTGTAAGTTTGTCGCTGTCCTTTGCGTCCTCTCAACTTGATTAACTCGATAACACGGATCCGGGAGCACGCGGACGGATTGGGCCTGCCTGGCGTGACCCGCGGTTGTGGCTCAGACTCCGCTTCTTAGCCAGACCAACACGTGGTTATTGTTGCCGCTGCCGCTGCTGCTGCTGCCGCTGCTGCTGCTGCTAATGCTGCTGCTAATGCTAATGCTGCTGTCGGTTGTCCTTTTTCTTGTTGATGGTGCCATTGTTGCCATTGGCTGTCCTCAGAAAAGTAGCTTTTTGACCCATACCGTTTGAACATTGCTGGTTGTTGTTGTTGTTGTTGCTCCTGCTGATATTGTTGCTGTTACCGCTGCTGCTGCTGTTATTGCTGCTGCTCAATGATGTGGCGAAGGGTGTGAGCTGGGACAGGAAGTGGGGTACACGATTCGATTCGAGGACTGCACCTCACCGGACACGGTGCTCAAGTACATGACGGACGGCATGCTCATGAGGGAGTACCTGGCCGACAACGATCTCTCGTGAGTAGCCTTGGTGTTGCCGCTGCTCCTGCTCCCACTGGTGCTGCTGCTGCTGCTGCTGCTGCTGATGCTGGTGCCGGTTATCCCACAGAGAACAGAGGAAGCGAGCATTCGCGCGAGGTTGGGGCCTGCTGTTCTCTCATGAATAGAAACACGCCGCGTTTCTGTACTGACGACGGCCCTTGTTTTCGAAACTCGTGTATGTGTCGTGGCAGACGATACGTGGCGGTGATGCTGGACGAAGCCCACGAGCGGACAATCCACACGGACGTGCTCTTCGGCCTTCTGAAGGTATGTACTGCTGTAATATACCATGCAGGATGCATGTTGTTGTTGTTGTTGTTGTTGTTGTTGTTGTTGTTGTTGTTGTTGTTGTTGTTGTTGTTCTATTTTTTTTGTTGTCGGCGTTCCTGTCGCTGGTTTGGATCCTTTTAATGTCGTTGTTGTTGTTGCTGTAGATGCCGTTGTTGACTCCGTATTTGAAACCGTTCTCACGGCATGATGAAAGCAACCCCACACCTGGACGATCATGGTCTCAAGACGAGAGTTAGCTGTGAATCCTTTCAACTTGTGGTACAGCAGTATCGGTGTTTCGAAGTCCTTGGTTTGTTCCGACCGTGTCGTGGACCGCCACTGTTGCTACCGCGAGTAGTACTCCCATAACCATGACCCTCAGCCCAAGATATCCAATTTTTTTCCTCATCCATTCAAAATCAGGTTGAACATGAACATGATTTCGAACCCATGGCAAGTGATGCATGCCTTCAGAGATATCTCACTCTCATCCATTCAAAATCAGGTCGAACAAGAACATGGTTTCTAACCCGTGGCAAGGGATACTTGCCTTCAGAGGTATCTCACTCTCATCCATTCAAAATCAGGTCGAACATGAACATGATGTCCAAATCGTGGCAAGCGATAACATGCCT